ATGTAAAAGTTGAATTTTATGGAACGGTTTTGTTAAAAGTGGTATGAACACACTCGTTACGAACATAGTACAATGTTTATTTTATTATACTTCATCGTATGAATAGCATAACTCACAGCGTGTCGTCACCAGATGTACTACGTCTATCCTACCTTGAATAGGCCTAGAAGATTCATATAGCACAAACTAAAAGAAGATAACTAACACAAAGAAGACTAATGAAAAAGGAAATGATGAAAACCTTCATGGTCCAAACCTTACACGGTCGTCAGTCTTCGAGGTCGCTTTTCAAAAGTCCACTGAAAACGGTTTCTCCATAATTGTACAACAATATAAGTCAAGCGACCTGTAATGACAATCGACTGCACAATAGTTTCGCTGAAGTTACTTTTCAACTGGGCGTCTTCTCACGTTGGAAATTTTGTCTAGATATCATGTAGTCAAGTATCTCGGTGTAAAGTCACGATGAGTTGACCGTAAATTTTTCGGTCGGAAATAATCAAGATGTTCCCGAAACAAGTCGATTAAAACACATTTCGGAAAGACTCACCACTCCTCTTTCGTGGCCAGTAGAGAGTTTCCAAAGGAGTTCAAAGTATATCAACCCCAGAGCAAATATGTCCACCTTTCGGTCATAGGTCTTTCCCGTTATCTGTGATAAAAATTGCAAATAGTTAAGACAGGTGAAGATGAGAAATTTGGGAGCAGCATCGTTAACGGTGGTAGGCATAAAAGGTAGCCTGCCTTAACCAATAGAGTGGTGCAGTGACACGTCCTAAAACCCGGACGTAAGCTCCTTCCGGTTCCCTCGACAAAAAAACAATGAGATTTCTCCATAGGATTTAGCAAAATAGCTCGAAATAAGGTCTGTGGTTGACTTTTATAATTTTCAAATCATAATTCGAAAATGATAAAAGTAGGGTAGACATGTGGAGATTATCCGACTGAACAAAACGTGACCCGTCTCTTAAATGTATTTCAACCACAGACCTTATTTCCAGCTATTTTGCAAAATCCTATGGAGAAATCTCATTGTTTTTTGTCGAGGGAACCGGAAGGAGCTTACTTCCGGGTTTTAGGACGCGTCACTGCACCACTCTGAGAAGAACACATTTGTTAAGACAACAATAAAGAAGAGTTAACATTTATTATGGTAAAGACCATCTCACTTGCTCAGGAGCCATGTAAGTCGATGTTCCTCTGTGTCGTGTTCTCTCAATTAAAGCAAAGTCATCATCATCATCATCATCATCATCTCTGGTGACCAGACCAAAGTCCCCGATCTTCACTTCTCCATCCACTCCAAAGAGGATGTTGTCAGGCTTACCATTATTGAGAAAAACAGAAATAAGTCATTAAAACAGGGGTCTCCAACTTTTTTTAGGATGAGAGCTACTTTCAAAAAGTAAAACGAGTCGTGAGCTTCTTTTACTCCTGTTTTGTTTGTTTTTTGCAGTGATTTCATTTCATTTCTAACCTTTATTTAAGCAGGTGAATCCCATTGAGATCATCGATCTGTGGGACCCATTTTCAGTGTTTACTAAAAGAAAATGTATGCAATTTAATTATTTCAACCTGTTTTATTTGGGGGTTGTCCTCACCTCCTCTAGGGGGGGCATGCACCCCCGGGAAGATGTTTTTTTAAATGTTGAAGTTAAATGCATCAATCTGGTGCACTTTGAGCACAGAATGAATTTATGGATACAGCTCTCAACACTCATGAAAGGGAGCTGTATACTTTTCAATAATCCAAACATCTTTAGAATATGATCACAACCAATAACAAATCATTTAAGCTAGTTTATTCTTATCTTACCATTCTTTCTTTTTATTTATTCATATTTTACAAATCACTCCCCCTTTTAAACTGTTTTTTTTCCGGTCCTATAGTACACACTGGAATGATTTCTTACTTTATTTTTTTACAATTATACTAAATAGATAAAGTCTCTCTCATCTTTTTTTTATTTTGAATTATTATTTTCTTATTAATGTATTATATGAATTGATTTAATTTTCCTTTTTTGTGTTCCTTTTTAAACATTGTTCCTGCTTATTGTGGGGGAAACTTCTGTAGCAATGGAGGAGTCAGGACTCAAAGGACACACGAGGAGAGCTGGAGCTTTGATGGCAAACACTGACGGTTTATTTTGAGTTTCGGCCGGAGAATTCACAAGACAAGTCAAGGGCCACGATCTGACCACACGCCACGGTAGAGATGAAGAGCTCTACCCCAGACCCATGTATTTAGTTCTGAGAGAATAATCAACATGCTGCATAACAAGATAGAATCATCACACCTCTATCAGCTCACGCCAACAGGCAGGAACAGGGAGAAAGAACACTGAGAGCACAGCAGGCAAGGCTTCAGGTGCCTGTGCTCAGTGAGGACCGTTTGAACTGATAAACTGGGTCAAAGTTATGGGCCTTGGAATTATTTCCCCAACACTTGTGTTCAGAATTTAGCAGTTTCTTTCAAATATGTATTTGTGTATGGATGTTGAAACTATACAGAGCTTTAGCAATACTGTATGTAATTATGGAAATGCTAATAAAGTTATTGAATTGAATTGAGTCCTCTCCTGTTGAGCCGGACTGAGAGGCTCAGATAACTACAGCTCAGTGAGGTAAAGGACTCTCTGAATGTTTAGATAATTCACTTTAGTCTGAGTTATCTCAGTGGTTCCCAAACGTTTTGGTCACCATTGAAGTAAACAAGTATTTCCAAAGTACACCTTTATCTATTTAATATAGTTATACAAAAATAACAGAATAGATAATAACCGGTATGAAATCATTCCAATGTATACTATAGGACAGTAAATAAAATACAGTTTAAAAGGGGAGTGATTAGCAAAATATGCATGAATATAATAATAAAGATGTTAACTAGGTAACATAAGATAAGATAGACTTTAAAATTGTTGTGTACTGCTTCACAGGAAGGGGAGAGAGGGGAAAGAGAGGAGAGGCTCTGAGACAGGAAGTAGAGGTCCTGTATTCTCACCACTATTAATGAACAACAGAAATAAAATAAACAAGTTACATTTTTATTGGCTGTGGTCATATTTCAAGGATTCTTTGATTATTTAATTGTATAAAGATATTTTTCATATTGGCGCCAGCTAAAATCTTGCCTAGGGCAGCAATAGGTAAGGGTCTATTGATCAATTAACAGCCTAATGTTTGTGTCATTGATTTCAAAGCACAAAGAGAAAATCCTACGTACCATTATTCTTCAATGTTTTCATTTTATTATTATTATCACTCACGTTTCATAATATGATAATCTAATACAAATAATTGAAGCGTACTCAATCCTATTCAATAATTGTATGATCTGAGGCTTTCATGAAGCATATAAAATGCCCAAACACCTAAAGTGAGTGCGCTGATCTTCGGATCGGGGGGGGGACTCGTTCAAATCCCGCAGCAGTCAGCATTCCGCTATGTCGTTGGGCAAGACAACCCAAATTGCTCCTGTGTGGGGATTGCCCACAGTATTGAAAGTATGTAAGTCGCTTTGCGTTAAAGCGTCTAACAAGTGACATGTAATGTAATATACTGTAGGTATATCAACATTTCCCTCAGATACGCACGGCAGACTTACCTTAAGGTCTCTGTGGAAGTGTCCCTTGCAGTGAATATATTCGACTCCACTGACTATTTGCTGAGCAATGGTTACACTTTCTTGTCTTCTCTTGGAGTCTTGCAGAGACTGAGTGTTCTTCTCTTTGATCCACTTTGTGAGTGTTTTTGTTTGGCATAACTCCATCTGAATATAGAGGTACTTTGCTGATGGATCTTCTATAGACCTAAGAAAAGAGAGAGACGAGAAACATGATAATATTACTATTCTTTTAATGAAGTCACTTCTTCTCGGTATGTTTGAATCAAAGCTTGATAGTCCCTGTGAATGGCTAGAAAGTCTTTGCAGCTCTGACCTGTGGACATACAGCGGTTAAGGCTCACCCATCTCCAAGTTACATTACATTACATTACATGTTAGACGCTTTTATCCAAAGCAACTTACATACTCAATACTGTGGACAATCCCCAGAGGAGCAATTTGGGGTGAAGTGTCTCAGGGACACAACGACATGCTGACTGCAGTGGGGTTTGAACCTGTGCTCCCCTGATCCCAACACCAACGCACTAGTCCACTGCGCCACAGCCTCCCTTAGAAGTTGAGAGCCATGTGCAGCTAATAGTGGGGCCTTGAATCAAAGATATGCTCTGCATGCTGTCTATTAGACCCTCCAGAAAAACGCGGGCTAAAATCCTTGATTATGCAATTAAACATGCGGGGTTTTTATGTGATTTTATGCGGTGAAATTGCGGGAAGTTGCGAAATATGCGGAAAGTTGCGAAATATGCTAAATATGCGGGAAAAAATAATAACTTTTTTTTTTAATAGTGGGCTGTCTTATTTATTCTCTCTCACACACAACCTGCCACTAACGTTAAACCCTTTTACTATTCAATTAAACAAATTCAATGTTTATTTATTGTAAAAGCAATTGGGCTACTTCACACACACACACACACACACACACACACACACACACACACACACACACACACACACACACACA